TGACCACAGGTAACAAATCATGAAAAGTGAAACCACAGATAAGGAAGGGAGACTATCATACTGTACTTTTTTGTACTGCTAGATTTAATTTGCTAAAATATTGCAGACTTTTGCATCTATGCTTATGATAGATATTGGTCTATAGTTTTTTGCTGCTTTTTTCTTATAATATCTTTGGTTTTTTTATCAAGGCAATGCTGGCTCATGGAAGGAATTAGAAAGTGTGCCATTCTTCTATTTTCTAGAAGAGTTTGTGTAGAATTGGTATTATTTCCTTTTTTCTTTTCTCTTTTAAAAAATGTTTGTAAAATTATCCGGTGAAGCTTCTAGGAGTGTTCTTTATAAAACTACAAACTCAATTTCTTTAATAGATACAGGGGATGTCTAGTTAGCTCTAACACGTGAAGAGCCTGGAAGTCATCACTTCCATCCTTACCGCAAGAAAAAGCGAAACACATGGAAGATCAACTACAAACTCATCAGAAGACTGAGGTCTCAGGGTGAAACGCCACCTCAAAATTTGGAGAGAGAGGTGAATCCAGAGTCATAGCCAAGAGTTGCTCACCTGGAACAGAAGCTGCTAGAGCTACACACTGGCAGGAACACTTAAATGCTAATTTTGACAAATTGCTGGAGTCTGAGTATGGACTAGTATAAGAGTGAGAAAGTGTCATCACTGTAAAAGACATCCAGAGTGTTCACCACAACAAAGACCTCTCTCCAAGGAAGAAGGCTTTACCAAAACCTCATCCCACCTGGGAAAAGTACATTCTCCCTCTCCAGCCCCTTCTAGCCTTCCTGTCTCATCTGATGGGGGGATGAGGGTGGGAGAGTTGGTGGTGGTGCGGGTTGGGGGGAGCTAGAAGACAGCCCCGGGATTCAGGCTCATGAAAAAGCTGAGATTTAATTTTAAGATGACAGGTCGTGTCCCCTTCTGCCATCCATCTTACTACCACGTCAACACGCTCCAGTGTAAGATCAGTGGACTCCTAACTTTCTTTAACTTTCTTTAAACAGGAGCACTTAGGGAAGCCCATGCTTATGAGGGGATACAGAAACAAGACTACTCAAGGAATTGAAGCCTCTGGCACCTACAACCACAGCCAAGCATCAAACACAAGCCAATTCCCATGCTGATTAACACAAAGCATATATCAAAGGCTTTTAAATTCAGTTTTGAGTGCACAGTGTGTGAGTCCAGCTTTCAACAAATAATTAGAAGCCATTTAAGAGGCAAGGAGAAGCAAAGTCTGAAAGGGATACAGGGATATTCAGATTTTCTAATTCTTGCATGAGTTTTTTCCTTGAGAAATTTGTCCACCTCATCTAAGTTTTAAATTTTATTGACATCAATTTGTCCATAATAGTCTCTTATGATTGATTTAATAATGTAGGATCTGTAGTGATGTTTCCTCTCATTACCGATAAGTGTGTCTTCTCTCTTTTTTTCCTTACCAGTCTGGCCAGAGCTTTGCCAACGTTTATTTTATTCATTTTATTTTTGAGTCAGGGTCTCACTCTGTCACCCAGGTTAGAGCATGGTGGCACAATCACAGCTCACTACAGTCTCCACCTCCTGGGCTCAGGTGATCCTTTCACCTCAGCCTTCTGAGTAGTTGGGGCTACAGGCACACACTACCATGCCTGGCTACTTTTTTGACTTTTTATAGAGACAGGGTTTTGCCATGTTGCCTAGGCTGGCCTCGAACTCCTGGGCCAAGCAATCCTCCTGCCTCGGTCTCCCAAAGTGTTGGGATTACGGCATAAGCCACTTTGCCCAGCCTACCAATTTTACTGATTTTCTCAAAGAACCAGATTTGTTTTCATTTTCTCTATTGTTTTACAGCTATTACTTCCACGTCTGCTCTTTGCTATTTCCTTACTTTAACTTTAGTTTACTCTCCTTTTTCTAGTCTTTTAAGTGGAAGCATAGGTCTCTAATTTTGAACATTTTAACTTATTAGGCATTTACTGCTAAAACTTTCTCTCACTATTCTGGCCTAAGGGACTTACTTTGCTTTGGCAACTATCACCCCCCCATCATCAGTTTTTTCCCTTTCTACACAATCATTCTCATCTTTACACAAGCCTGCTGTTACAAGGTACATCATAAGGGGGGAAAGAAAGGAAAAGCACCCTCTCTTGCCTCTACATCCTCCTCTAGCTATCATTCCACTCCTCTACAACATCTATGCTCTACATGCTGTGTCTAGGTCTTCATCTCACATGCTCCATAATCTGCTCCATTGAAGTGTTTGCCCTTACCACTACCCTGTAATTGTTTTTTATCAAGGTCACCAGTAAGTTCCCTCTCTCCATATGCAACCACCAACTTTCTCTCCTCTTACTCATGACCCTGACTCTCAGGCTACCCCACCCCCCCAGGTTGCCTTCCTTCCTCACTGGCTACTCCTTCTTCCCTTTCTGACCACTCAATGGGCATGCCCCACAGTTCAGCCTCAGCCATCACCTTTTCTTCTTGATCTATACCCACTACTGCCCAGGTGCTGTATATGCACCCATAAAATTGTAGCACCATCTTTTGTATTCAAGTTTCTATCACTACATAATTTGGAGTGCATTTTGTAGTTGCTTCAAAATAATACTTGTGGCTGGGCATGGTGGCTCAAGACTGTAATACCAGCACTTTGGGATGTGGAGGCAAGAGGACTACCTGAGCCCATGGGTTCGAGACCAGCCGGGGCAACTTGGTGAGACCTCATCTCTACAATAAATCAAAAAAATAGCCAGGTGAGGTGACGTGCGCTGTGGTTCCAGCTACTTGGAAGGCTGAAGCAGAAAGATCCCCTGAGCCCAGCAGGTTGAGCTGCAGTGGCCATTAAGTGTGCCACTGTACTCCAGCCTGGGTGACAGAGTGAGACTCCTACTCCAAAAAAAAAAAAAAAAAAGATACCTCAAAGAACTTCTCTACACCAAATTCTTTCTGAACACACAAACATGAAATAGGCCTTATGAATTTTAAGTCAAATAAAGAATTTTTCTTTGAAAGAAGTTTCAGAACTGATTAATCATAAACAACAGAATGTATAGCCAAGTTTTATAAGTGCCAAAAACTGTAGTAACAGATACTAAAGAATATGCTATTCCAAAGAAGAGGAAACATGGGAAATGAGTAGTGCCAAACCATCTTTTTACTGTCCACTGAAAAGCACAGATCTGGAAGGAGTCTATTGCATTGTATAGTGAATGCAGTGTCTAACAGTGCCAGTATATATGCCATTATTGTATAGCTTATATAAAATGTTACATATTTTACATAGAGATAGTACCTACCTCTTTGAAACACTAAAATTTAATAGAATGAAGTCTCTCATTAAATACGAATCATAAACAATGCAATCATAAACAAAATGTTCTAAGAAAAGCACTATAAGCTTCTTTTGTGTGATACCTGGAGTAATGGTGAGGCTAACACAAAGCCAACACCCTCAGGAAGCTCTTCCCAGGAAACAGGCTGACGATGCCTGCAACAGGTGTCACCCTGGCACTCAGCTAGTGTCACCTTCGGGCCCACACTGACTGGCTAATGCCTGTTCTGGGGCTGAGCTGGGGCAAGCAGGAAGAGTCCCAGGTAGGGGGAAGAGTTCATCTCACGGACTTACGCTGCATCCACCCTATGGATGCGACACCTGGCATTTCTGGTGTGACTCTGCCTCCCTCAGCAAACACTGAAACGTGATCATGGACAAAAATGCCACTCATTTGTAAGCGCTGGCGTGAATTCACATCATTCCAAATTCCGTTCCTGGATGCCGCTGACATGAACTGACATCTTTGCAAATTCTGTTTCTGAATGCTGCAGCGTTGTCATATGTATGTGTTACTCAGTTTTGTTTGAAAATGAATAGTGAGCCATGGAGAAAGTTAATGGCGATAATGATCTGCTATCGACTGGACAATGCTGTTATTAATTTACGTGGTTGTTAAATATTGCAAGTTGGTCATGATGTTGTTGTGATCAGTGTCATATAACGCTAGGCTGGAGTGCCGTGGCAGTATCATGGCCATCACAGCCTCAACCTGCAGGGCTCAGGCAGTCTTTCCGCCTCAGCCTTCCAAGTAGCTGCAAGTACAAGAGTGGACCGCCACACCTGGCTAATTTTTTGATTTATTATAGAGACGAGGTCTCGCCAGTTTCCTCAGGTTGGTCTTGAACCCCTGGGCTCAGGCAAACCTCTCGCCTTGGCCTCCCAAAGTGCTGGGATGACAGGCGTGAGCCACTGTGCTCAGCCAGGATGCATTGATATTGATAAGGGTCTGGTTTCTCGAATAAGGTTCTGTTCTCTGGAATGATGTGCAGTTAGCCCAAAACATTGGCCACATCAAAAGAGCATGAGACTTGGCGGTTTAAAAATGTACTTTCAATTTTACACTATACCATTTGGTGAAAGTGCTGTTTAGTATCACAGGAGTACATGGAAGTGTCAACACCACCTTTGGTTTGTTTTCCACATGCTTCTGGTTACAATCTACCAGCTCCAGTGATGCCTATCCTAGCTCATATCACCCAGCCCCCTGCAGAGGTGCAGAGATAAATCAACGAGCATCACCTCAGCTGGCCCAAGAACCAGCACTCAGATGGTGAACACTGCAGCCAACAACCTTGGGGCAGGACACGTGAAAAGCTCTAAAAAGGAGAAAGACTAAAAGGTGCTGCAAAAAAATTCTCGATTTTAGAGTAGCTTCCCAAGAAAGTCGGAAAGTCATTGCTTTTCAAGAAAGGGAATCTATTCTCAAAAAACGATGTAATGCCTCAAAATGCAAAACCTAGAATGGAAAAACTTCAGAAAAATACAGCCCATTCATCAATATCTTACTTCAGCCAAGTGATCATAGTGAGTGAGTGTGATGTGTTACTGCATTTAGAAGCACAGCTTACCATACTCTCCTAAGATGGTCCTAGTACAAGAAAATAGTCCACAGAGGTGATAGCCCTTGAGCCTGCTGTGACTTCGGAACTTAAAAAGACAAAGGCCACCCAGGATTTGACATTCATTTATGGACTTGTTCAGCATGAGCCGAGTGACGGACGAGACAGTTAAATGCCAGATTCTCATTCATGTATGGTGTCCCAGGAAGCTCCTGTGTGGACACCAACCCCACGGCTCTCAGCCTGACTGCACATCAGAATCATTCAGGAAGCTTGGGGAAGTTGCCAAATGTCCAGGTCAATTAGGCCTGAAGGGTGGAGCCCAGACAAAGTATTGTCTTCCCTGGTGATTCTAACGTGCAGCCAGGACACACCACGGAGGCAGCCCTTGGGAGAGATGACACGGGAAATCCATGCAAATGGGACTCGTATCTAGATAGTTTTGTCTTTTCTCGATTCCACCAGAAAAGGGGATTTTTAGAAAAAGGCACAGCTGTGCTTCTTCCAAAGTCGCCATCTGCAGTATGGGAAGTGCTGGCCTGCAGGGGTCATCTGGAGCGCTGGCTGAAAAGGAGAAAGTCCTTGTCTCGGCAGAGGAGGCAGAGTTTCAGGCTCCGGCGGCTGCCTCCAGCGACGAAAAATGCCCAGGTGCCCATGAGCGCCATGATGGTGTATGCCGACACCAGGTTTATCACATAGTGAGGACTTAGGAAGGTCTGCAGAGGAAAAACAAATCAGCCTGGGTAATAACAGCAAGCTATAGAGCATGTAGTATAATAACTAAAGATAAAAGAAAATATGGAACACTTTCAATAGCCAGGTGTGTTTCATCAGACATATGATGCATGTCGTAAGTTACGGACCCAAGAAAGGCACATGAAACTAAGTCAACAGACACTGGCCTGTGGGTCCCATGCTTTGATGTACTCAGATGGCAACCCTGCAAGGTAGTCATTAGGCAGAGCCTAATGGAATACCCAGTAGAAGACATATTGTATAACTGAAGCCCAGTTTGTATTGATTTCTATATTAATTAAACGGGCTCTTAGAATTTGTAAGACTGAGACTAGTCCACATGACTTTAATATGAGTCCTTAGTATTCAAGGAAATGTGAGGGAGTAGAGTTTCTTTTTCAGCTGCACAATTGCTGTGGGTTCCAAAAGTTTATTCAATTAAGAGACACTGGTGGAATGCTAAGAGGTACATATTATGCAATGGGGAAGGCCGAAGTCTCTACTCTAATGGAGTTTATATACTAGTGAGGGAGGCAGCAATGAATGAAGAAACAGATTTGTTAATTACAAGTTGAGATGGATGTTAGGACAACATAATTGTAATTGTGATGATGCCAGGAGAGGTTAAAAACAAGGCGCTCTCTCCTTGGAGTGGTCAAGGAAGGCCCTAGGAAAGTGGCATTTAAACTGACACATACAGGAGGGGTAATGCCAACGCTGTGTAGACCAGGGGAAGGAACCAAAGGAGGGCAAGGGGCTCATGCAGTTGAGAACCTGAGACAGTCAACATTAATGTTCAGGGATGGAGAGAGCCACACCCAGGACAAGACTGGAGAGGAGGGCCGCGTTTTGCTAAGGAATGTGGATCCAGACCCCAATGTGATGCCAGCTTATAAGGGGCTTTTAGGCAGGGGCTGAGTGACTTGACTTAGATTGTTTAAACTGCAGAGAACCAATTAAAGGAGGCTCTGGGGAAAGCAGGAGGCTTGTGAGGAAGATACTATACTGGGAAAGAGTGGGTAACACAAACTGCAGGACTTGCTGTTGGACTGAATGTGAGGAAAGGGAGAAGACAAAATGCCTCGCCTGCTTCTGGTTTTGGGTAAATGATGGTGCCATTTAGCAGGATAACAGACACCTGAGGAAGACCAGGCTTGAAAGACTTGGGGAAAGGCCAAAGTAGAGTGGTGTGGTAGATGGGAGTCAAGTGAGAATGTGTTAGAGAATGTGTTAACAGCAACACGTCCATGAGCTTTCAAAAGGCAGATGTCAAATAAGCAGTAAGTGTGCTCAGATAAGAAGCCTGGGCTAGACAAAGGAATACAGAAGCACAGCCCGGAGATGGCATTGAAGGCCATGGCCATGAATACAATTACCCAGGGAGCTAGTGAAACGCCGAGCTGGGATTCCAAGGGAAAAGAGGAGAGAGAGAAGGGAAAAGAGAAGTCAAGACCGAGTGCTGAGAAATGGAAGACGGATAAATTATCTGGAAGATAAGAGCCAACAAAGGGGTGTAAGAAGGGGCAGTCAGGCAAGAAAAAATCAGGATATTGTGGTGCAGCGGAAGTCAAAAGAGGACAGTGCTTCAAAGAAGGGTCAACTCGAGCTAAAGGCTGCTAAGAAAAGATCAGCGTGCAGTAGATAGGAATGGGGAAGCTATAAGGAGAGAACACAGTGCCTTATGGAAACATGGTTTGCATCCTGCGGGATGGAGTGTCATGATTATTTGGTTATTATGATTATTTCATGGGGTTCACAGTAGGAGGAATGGAAGACCTCTGTGACCCTGGCAAGTACAGTTTTCAAAGGGTAGCCAAGCAGAGGCTAGGCTGGGCAAGGGGTAGGAGAGGTAAAGAAGTAGAGAAGGAATCTGTAGAGATGACTCTTTAAGAAGTCTTGCTATGTTGGGAAGCAGACAAAGGGAGGTGGGAGGGGAGGGGGCAGTGGTGAAGGGCTGCACCTCAGATGTGTCTGACAGTTAATGGGGAGGGAGGGCTGGTGATGTAAGCCAGAGGGCACAACGGAGGCCTAGAGTCCTATAGCAGGAGGGCATACGTCAGGGCTCGAAGCCTGGTGGAGGGACTAGCCTTTGCTATTTCCTCTGTGAGCTCAGGATAAGGCAGGAGACAGGCTCCATCAAGCCCAGGCATACACACTTAGGGAACGGAAGGGATTCAATTGAGTTAGTTGGTATCATACACCTTCGCTTCTCAGGGCTTCAGCAGGAGTGTCTCTAAGGCTCCTTGCTGTCCCCACTGTCACCCTTACCCACACATGCTTCTGGCTAAGGCTCTGGTACAGGCCAGTTGGCTCTGGCCAGGTATATGAGCTGATTCTGCATTAGTTCCTTGTGCAGAAAGTGCTTTTCTTCAAAGGCCTCTGAGGGCATGAGAGGCATCAAGTATTTTCTGAATTCTTCTTTAGAATAGTTCTATTCCTCAAATCCACTGAATTTTAATTTATTTTGCAGAGTGCTAAGCTCTTTGTATTTTGCTTTAGTTTATTTCTTTAAAAAACTTTTTCTCTTTTAAATAATTACAAGAGCAATATGTGATTGTTGTAGAACATTAGGGTACACACATAAGAAAAATAAAACAGGCCAGGCTCAGTGTCTCAGCCTGTAATCCCAGCGCTTTGGGAGGCCGAGGTGAGTGGATTTCCTGAGCCTGCGAGTTCGAGACCCGCCCTGGCAACTTGGCGAGACTTCATCTCTACAATAACTAAAAAATTAGCCGGGCGTGGTAGCACACGCCTGTAGTTCCGGCTACTTGGAAGGCTGAGGTGGAAGGATCGCTAGAGCCCAGCAGGTTGAGGCTGCAGTGGCAGGGAGCATGCCACTGCACTCCAGTATGGAGTGAGACGCCAACTCAAAAAAAAAAAAAAGGAAAGAAAAGTAAGACAAATTTTAAAACTTAAAGTTCAGCTAGTTTAATATTTATTAAATAAAATATAAAAAGTGAAGTCATAAAGAAAAAATTGATAAATTAGACTACATTAAAATGAAGAACTTTTGTTCACCAAATGACAATATTAAGAGAACCCCACCATAGAAGTCATGTACAAAAACTTCTTTGCAATAAAGGCTGCTGAGATAAGATAAAAGAAGTTTACAGAAAATATAAAGAAGTCTTAAGAGTCAAAAAGAAAAAGACAGACAATCCAGTAGATGGGTATGAGATCTGAACAGGCACTTCACAAAAGGATTATCCAAATGGCTAATAAACATCTGAAGAGGTGTTCAACATCACTAATCATCAGAAAAATGTAAATTAAGCCTTTAATGATGCATTATAATTTACTGATGTATGTATTTATGCAATCACTACTACTCAGCAGATGGCAAACAATAGAGAGAAAGCCATACCCAGTGCTGGCAAGGAGGTAGAGGAACTGCAATTCACAAATTAATGGTGGAGGGAGTGTAAGTCAATTAACAACCACCCTAAAAATCAAGTGGAATGAACAGTCAACACATGGATGCCCCAAGACTCAGCAATTCCACTCCCAGGCATGTATCCACAAGGAATATGTACGTATGTTCACCAAGAGACCTACACTAGAATGTTCACAGCAGCACTTTTCACAAGAGCTAAAAACTAGACACACCGGAAGTGCCTCTCTGCTGTAGAATGGGTCAGTTACATGTAGTGACACAGAAGGGCACGGTGCAGCGACCGACCAGCAGGCTAAGCTACAGAAAGATGGCTCCCGCAGGCACGTTGAGCTGAAGGAGCCAGACGCAAGAACAAATGGTGTGCGGCTCCGTTTACATAAAATACCAAAAGGCAGGGCCAAGCTCTGGTGCTGGAAGTCAGAATCATGGTAACCCTTTAGAGGGTCCATGACTGGAGGCACCAAGAGGTAACTGAGGGCTAAGAATGTTCTGATTTTCATCTAGGCTCTAGTTACCTGGGTGTGTCCACACTGTGGAAATTCAAAACAGACACTTCTGATCTGTGCCTTTCTCTGTAGGTATGTTACTCTAATAAAACAATTACTTAAACAATCATTCTCTGAAATCTGCCACTGAGAGATGATTACTGTGAACCTTTTGGTATGTAATTTTCAAACTTCCTAGGTTCTTTTTTTTAATCATTAAAGAGAATAACATCAACTACTCAATATTCAACAACATTTACTGGCCATCTACTATGTGCCAAGCATTAAGGATACAAAGATTGCCAAGATAAGGCCCCATCCTTCATGATTAAACTCTAGTTAGAGAAAGAGATGTAAAAACCATATGAAATAAAACACGCCAGCCAAGGGCTAGTGTGGTAATAGAGCTACAAAGAAGGTCCTGTGACAGCGCTGAGTCTGGAATAACCACCTTTTCCAGGCAAGTGTCACATCGGATGATGTCTGCCCAACAGGCCTAGGTTAGGGGGACAGGAGTCAGCAGACAAGCAGTGGAGCCAAGGTGTGCCTGCTGGGAGCGGCAGGAGGCAGGACCAAGAGGCTTGTGTCGAACGAAGGCATCTGGGGCTTACTCCATAGGCATCCGCTGCGGCTCTCCTGTCCCCCTCCACACCCTTGGCTTCTGAGACAGCGGGCTCCAGATTTCCTGGATTTCCTCCCACCTCCCTGGCTGCTGTTCCTCTTTCCCCAGCCTCCACACTGCAGCGCCCTGGGGCTCAGTCCAGCTTCTTGTCTGTTTACACCCAATTCCTTGTCGTCATCTCCTCTAGCCTAGGCTTCTCTACCAAACTCCAGACTGTCATTCACCTGTTCACTTGACATCTCCCTTGACAAAACTCCTAACCCCCCAACAAGCTCCCTCACCTCAGCTGATGGCAACTCCATCCGCTCAGTTGTCCCAGCCAAAACCCTTGGCCGTATCCCTGGATCCTCCTCTTTCTCTTGGATACTTCATAAAGTATTCCAGGAAACACTGCTGATTCTACTCTCTTTCTTTCTTTTTTTTTTAGATTGGAAAACATGGTCTATTTAGAAAATAAATTAGAGTGAAGAGAGAGGAGATTCACCTCCCCAAGGTAGGGGAGAGGGCCAAGGCTAGGAAACATGGTGGCCAAAGCTCAAAAAGCCACATGGATACCTCTGCTTTCAAAAATATGTCCTGGATCTGGCTGCTTCTCACTCTCTCTCCACTGCTATCTCACCCAAGTCGTCATGCCTTCCCTTGAGGACTGTCACCTCCTCTCCCACTACAGTCTTTCTCAACACAGCAGGGTGATCCTTTCAAAATGTGAGTCTAGGCAAGTCTGGCTCCTCAGCACTATTCAAGGACTCCTCATGCCATGGAGAGTGAAAGCCAAAGGACTGTGGGATCCAAATGTGGCTCTCACTACCCACCTCCAACTTCCTTCCCCCGTCAACTCTGACAGTGTCTCCGACTCATCTCCCCCTTGGCCATGCCATGTTGGCTACCTGGGCTTCCACGTGCACATGCGAGCACGTTGCTTACTCTTAGGGCCTCGGAGCTGCGTGCCCCCCCAGGCTGTTCTTTCTCCAGACAGCCACACAGCCTCCTCCCTCACCTACACTTCCTTACTGCCACATCACCTGCACAGTGAAGGCACTCTGCCCACCAACTGTGATGCCCATCCACACACTCTGTGTCCTGCTGACCCGCCCCACTTTTCCTTTTGTCCACAGGCCATTTCTCATGTATTATGCTTACTGATCACTGCCTGTCCCTCCCCACTAGATTATAAAGGCAGGGATCTTTGTTTTGTTCACCTAGAACAGTACCTGAAAGCACTCAATACAATCTCTGATGAATGGACAGATAGCCATCTGAATCCGTAAGAAGGAAGTCTGCTCTATCACATAACTTCCTTTCTGATTATCAAAGTGCTATGTTGTAGAAAACTTAAGACATGAAAAACTATAGGAATAAAAGATCTACAATCTCAACACCCAGAGATGAACGCTGTTACTATTTTAATACATTCTTTTCCAGTCTCTTTTTCGCAAAGATTTGGCTTTACATAGAAAGGGTAACTTTAGCATCCTGCACCGGAAAGGTTTTAGGAGGGGAGCAGGGGGGAAGAAGACTGCATTTTAGATGGATCGGGGGCAGAGAGCCCAATGTGAGAAAAGCTGATGTGAACTCCACTTGGATGGAGAGAAGGCAGCATGCCATCAGAGGGAATCTTGCAAGCGTTCAGGGCACAGCATGGCGAGGGTCTGGACAAGGCAGTGGGACGGGGAATTCTGACAACTTACAATAAAAGCCAGACCCAAGGCATTAAACAGTACTTTAAAAATACATCTTGTCAAGTCTTTTAAAACTTTGTTTTGAAAACTGGCATTGCCATAATGTCAGCAAGGAAGGAGTTGAGTAAAACTGGCCAGCTGTGGTGACTCCTCCCTGCATTCCCAGCACTTTGGGAGGCCAAGGTGAGAGGATTCCTTGAACCCAGGAGTTGGAGACTAGCCTAGTCAACATAGTGAGACCTCGTCTCCACAAAAAAATCAAAAAACGAGTCTGGCATGGTGGCACGTGCCTGTAGTCCCAGTTCCTCCAGAGGCTCAGATAGGAGGATCACATGAATCCAGGAGGTTGAGGCTGTGATGGGCCGTGAGCATGCTACTGTGCTCCAGCCTGGGTAACAGAGTAAGACCCTGACTCAAAAAAAAACCTCAAAAAACCCAACAACAGCAAAAAGAAAGAATGATAAAATTGGTATAATCATTATAGAGTATTTCAGCAATCTGCACCAAGTGCTTTAAAAATATTCTGTCATCTGACTTCATAATCCCATACCTTGGAACCAAAACAACATGTGGAAAATGTTTCCTGTACAAAGATATTCAATACAGCAACTACAATAATCAAAGAAATAGAAGTGAGCCAGGCTCGGTGGCTCAGCCTGTAATCCCGCGCCTTTGGGAGGCTGAGGTGAGTGGATTGCTTGAGCCCGCGGGTTCAAGACCCGCCTGGGCAGCGAGACCTCATCTCTACAATAAATCAAAAAATCAGCCAGGTGTGGTAGTGCATGCCTGTGGTTCCCGCTACTTAGAAGGCTGAGGCGGAAGGATCGCCTGAGCACAGCAGGTCGAGGCTACGTTGGCCATGAGTATGCCCCTGCACTCCATCCTGGGTGGCAGAGTGAGAAAAGGAAAAAAAAAAGAGCTGGACGCTTCACTCACTCATGTCCATGGCTTTTCAGAACTTCCCAATTTCCCTATGAGCACCTACTTCATCTGGGGAAGAATCTGCCACTTCAGATATACGGACTTGCGTTCCAAAACAGTTTGAGTACAGTGGCAACACTCACCTGGGCTGACACCAGCAGGTGGGTCAGGAGAACTATAAGAAGGATGTACCACTTTTTCTTCTCACAGCCATCAAAAAACACAATGCCCCAGAACACGTGCAGCAAGATGATGACCAGCGTCATGAAAGCTGAAAGACAGTCAACCATTAGTGTCGACTCACACAGATAGCAGACAGCAAAGCCACTGAGTGCCCTGCCACTGTGCCCTGCCACTAGGCTCCGGGGGCCCACAATGTTGTCACAAGAGAGTTCAGAAACTTGCAGGACCTTGACACACTTGCACAAACCATAAGTCGAAAAGCAACATTTCTGAACAGGGGGTTCTACCTGTAGCAGCTTCTCATCTAGGACTTAGATCTGGCTTTCAAGCAGTTTTCCTGAGGAATACAATAAAATGATTGTGATGTTTAACCAACTTTTTCCCAATTCGCCTTCTGTACTACTCGAGAGAGACTTCAATGAAATGGAGTATCTTCTATTTAAACAAGTCTCGGCTGGGTGTGGTGGCTCACGCTTATATTCCCAACACTTTTGGTGGCTGAGACAGGAGGATCACTTGAGTCTAGGAGCTCGAAACCAGCCTGGGTAACATAGTGAGTCCTCATCTCTACAAAAATTATTTCAAAAAATTAGCTGGCATGGTAGTGTGCACTTATAGTCCCAGCTGCTGAGGAGGCTGAGGCAGAAGGATCACCTGAGCCCATGAGGTTGAGAGGTTAAGGCTGCAGTGTGTGATCCTGTCACTGCACTCCAGCCTGGGTGACAGAATGAGACTCTGAGACAGACACACAGACACACACACACACACACACACACACACACACACACACACACACACACACGTCTCCCCACTGACATAGAATTTCTCCTCAGATCTTTTTTTAAAAGACCAATAGAAAAGTAAAATATTAAAGATCACAATAATTATCAAAGATTCTGCTTAAACTGGCCCTAAATTTGATCAGCATTAGCAGATTTCTCTGCGGAATACTGCCTCCCTTCGTGTGATGTGTATCCTGAGTGCTGGATAATATTCTTTATTAAAAGTAGGCAAACCCCATGTATTCTGCAAGTTTTAACATGGAAAAAAAAGGCATATAGATTTCTCCTTTCAGCCACATAATTAGAAACCATTAATACCTACCAGACTGGAAAAATTCAAGTCTGACAACTCTCTCTCACATAGCTGGTAGGAAAACACTCTGGCATTACCAATTAAAGTAGAACATTTGCATTCTCCATCTCACTCTATCTTACTTCAGGAATTCCAGCAGTTCCAGCTAGGTCTATGCTATGAAGCAATTAGCTCTCAAACTAATAGGTCACCAGCACCTAGAAATGCAAATGCTTGGGGCCCACCCTACACACATCCAGAATCAGAAACAGTGGGGGAAGGCCCCAGCAATCCTTGTTAAAACAGCATTCCAAGTGATTCTGATGCATTGTCAAATTCAGAATCACTATTCTAAAGAAACCCTTAGGCTGGGTGCGTTGGTTCATGCCTATAATCCCAGAACTTCGGGAGGCAAAGTTGAGAGGATTGCCTGAGCCCATGGGTTTGAGACCAGCCTGGGCAACTTGGCAAGACCTCATCTTTACAATGAATCAAAAAATTAGCCGGGCACGGTGGCACATGCCTATAGTCCCAGCTACCAGGAAGGCTGAGGTGGAAGCATTGCCTAAGCCTAGCAGGTTGAGGCTACAGGGGCCATGAGCATGCCACTGCACTCCAGCTTGGGCGACAGAGTGAGACTCCAACTCAAAAACAAAACAAAAAACCCTTATACATCTGCACAAGGAGATATAGACAAGGATATTTATATCAACAGTTTGTCATAATAAAGTATGTCCAACATGACCAGAATGGATACATAAATCATGGTGTATTCATACAGTGCAATACTATATGATCTATATAAATGATCGCCAGAATACAATGTTAAGTGGGGGGGAAAAAAACATACTGTGGAAAAGATGCATATTATTTAATGTACATGAAGTAAAAAACATGCAAAACAGTATTTTTTTCCTTTTTTTTTTTAAATGAGATGGGATCTCACTATGCTGCCCAGGCTGGTCTCCAACTCCTGGGCTCAAGCAATCCTCCTGCCTCAGCCTCCCAGAGGTTGGGATTACAGGCATGAGCAACCACACCTGGCTGCAAAACAATATGTAAAAGATATAACCTTTGTGGTAGGAAGAAAGGAAGCTACTGCATCTGGTATGACAGTGTCATCTCAGTAAATGATGGGAAATCTTTTAAACAAAGTGGAAAAAGAACTAAACTGAAATGATGCATTTGAATCCCCATGATGATGACCCGGAGAGGGAAGTTTCCTGGAGACAGATGCCTGGTGAGGGGGGAAGCTGGGACCAGGAAGATGCCTAAGAGTTCAGCTTGCATTTCAAAGTTTCTCTGTGTCAGAAAAGACCAAGGCGGAAACTAGCACAAATGCTAACTCTGATTTTTTTTAAATCACAAAGCATTCATACTCTAAGGATTTTCTAAAACCTAGATGACAATCAAATGTCAAGAGAAAGCAATGAGCCGGGCTCGGTGGCTCAGCCTGTAATCTCGCGCTTTGGGAGGCTGAGGTGAGTGGATTACCTGGGCAACTTGCCGAGACCTCATCTCTACAATAAATCTAAAAAAATTAGCCAGGCGTGGTAGTGCGCGCCTGAAGTTCCAGCTACTTGGAAGGCTGAGACGGAAGGATCGCCGGAGCCCAGCAGGACAAGGCTGCGGTGGCCGGGAGTGGCTACTGCACTCCAGTCTGGGTGACAGAGTGAGACTCCAACTCAAAAAAAAAAAAAGAGAAAGTAATGATACCATTAGTGTGCCACCTGTCTGGCAGCCAGTCTCTACACATGACCATGAATATTGAGATGAGTCAGTGATGCTCCCATGGTCAAGTCCTAGAGTCAGCCATCTGAAAAATGCTTTTACTTATGGAATTTTCAGGCTATTCTTGTCCAAAAGAGCATTGTTCTGTGACCTGAAGGTAAGCATCCTCAGGACATCATTAGCCCTGGCATTTTTTCCAAATTCTAGGTCCATATTTCTTGGTCCTTCCTGCTAAGAAGTCTGTGAGGGATTGACTTTGCCTCCAAAGTCCAGTCCATACATCTCAGGCTAGCATTCAAGGATCTCTATGACTAGACCCCAATTACTTTGACACCCTAGCCTATGGCAGAAAACCAGGACTCTTCACTCCGTCTAGACCTCTTTGATTTTTTCCTATTTTTTAAAACCAGATTATCCCTTTTGCCTGACTATTCTACCTGTTTTCATCACCCCTCCCCATTTTTACCACACCCAAATCTCACTTTTATTTAAGATCCAGCTCAAATGCCACCTCCTTGGTGAATTATTTCCTGATACCTACCCTTCTCTTATTTTCTTTTACACTCAACACACATTTACTAGGCACCTAGGCAATCTGGCCTTGAGATTATGTGTATTATCTTTGGAGTTGACAATTCTGAGTTAGACTCCCAGCTCCACTGTGTGGCTTTGGACAAGTGGTTTAACTTCTCTGAGCTCCCACTTCCTTTATTTCTAAAATGGGGATAGGACCTCCCTGAGAACAGTGCTTAGCCAACCACAGTTTTTCCACACATGGCAGCTACTATATGCTCTGGTCTACGGACTCCAAGATGAATAATCCAGGGTCCTCTGTAGTTGTACTATCAGGTAGGAAAGAGACAAAGCAGTGAGCAATTTATTTATTTATTCGAGTTTCCTGGATACCAGGCTATGTATCAAAAATTCATCCTTCTAATTTGTGTTACCCTTTTTTTTTTGAGTTGAGGTCTCACTGTGTTGTACGGGCTGAAGCACAGCAGTATGATCACAACGATCATGGTTCGTGGCAGCCTCAGCCTCCTTGGCTCAGGCAATCCTTCCACCACAGCCCCCCGAATAGCTAGGACTACAGGCGCACATCACCACGCCTGGCTAATTTTTTGGTGTATTGTAGAGATGAGGTTTCACTGTTTCCAGGCTGGACTCAAACTCCTGGGCTCAAGCAATCCTCCTGCCTTGGCCTCCAAAGTGCTAGGATAACAGGTGTGAGCCACTGTGCCCAGCCCTCTGTGTTACTCTTACATTTTTTCTTCCCTCTCTTATCAATCCACGTAATAAGTATTTATTCAGCCAACTCTGCTAGGCTTCATGGAAACTTGTCCCACCCTTTCAGTTATCATTTTTGTTGTTTTTTGAGTTGGGTGGTCTCACTGTCATTCAGGCTGGAGTGCAGTGGCACAATCATGGCTCACCACAGCCTCAAACTCCTAGACTCATGTGGTCCTTCCAGCTTAGCCTCCCGAGTAGCTGGGCCTACAGGTGTGCACCACTACACCTGGCTAATTTTTTAATTTTTTTCTAGAGATGAGGTCTTGCTATGTTTTCTAGAGAACTCCTAGGTTCAAGCCATCTTCCCACCTTGGCCTCCCAAAGTGCTGAGATTGCAGGCATGAGTCACTGTGCCCAGCCTCAGTTACCATTGTAGTAACACAATATCCAAAGGGATCTCTCAGACATTTATTAAAATACCATACTACATTCTTGCCTGCCTGCTTATTTATACAGCTGGCACTAGTATCTTGAGGGCTTCGACGTCACCGTAGCCTTTCCTGTCACAATGTGCTACCTTAGAGTACCAGGATTTAATCTTTAGTCCCCGGAGCCAGTAGCCCCCATTAGTTTAGTCCCCTCAGTCAGAAACTGAGACCTGGACATCTGAATTATTCTGCCACATACATGCAGTTACAGCTACACACAAACTGTCTTGCTACTTCTCATTAACAAAGGAATTCCAATGAGAAATGGAGATTTGTGGTCGGGCTTGTGGCTCAGTCCTGTAATCCCAGCACTTTGGGAGATTGAGGCGAGTGAATTGCCTGAGCCTGCGGGTTCGAGACCAGCCCGGGCAACTTGGCAAAACCTTGTCTCTACAATAAATAAAAAATAAGCGTAGTAGTGCACGCCTGTAGTTTCGGCTACTTGGAAGGCTGAGGCGGAAGATCGCTGGAGCTCAGCAGGTCGATGCTGGGGGTCTGTGAGCATGCCACTGCACTCCAGTCTGGACAATGGAGTGAGACTTCAACTCAAAAAGAAAAAGAAATG